TTATATATACCAAAGAGGGATCAAAAACCCTTCTCAGCCACAACATCACATACCATATATACTCGTGTATAAGTCGATCTCATGTATAAGTCGAGTGCAGTTTTGTGACCAACAATTGTGAAATATGCTATGCCTCGTGGATAAGTCGAGGGTAAAACTTGGGGCTATGAAATTGTGATTTTTATAATTATATACACACACTCTGCATTATATATACACACTCATACAAACACACACTCTGCATTATATATACATACACACACACACACTCTGCATTATATATACACACACACTCATACAAACACACACTTTGCATTATATATACACACACACTCATATAAACACACACTCTGCATTATATATACACACACACTCATATAAACACACACTCTGCATTATATACACACACTCGCTCATACAAACACAAACTCTGCATTATATACACATACTCACTCATACAAACACACACTCTGCATTATATATACACTCAATATAATCTGCAAATAATCCACAACAATATAAAATCTGAATGATTACAATATTTAAATAAATTAAAACAAACAGCAGCATTCAATTTAGCATCACTACAGAAGTAGCACCACAAATTTACCTTTAGAACTCTGTGTGTATATAATGCAGAGTGTGTGTTTGTGTAGTGTGTGTGAACTGGGTGGGGTGAGGGCATTTTTATTATTGTAATTTTTTTTATTTTAATATAGTCAGGGAGGGGGGCTATCTTAATCCCTGGTGGTCCAGTGGCATGGGCTGTGCAGTGGGGGGGCCGGCAGGAAGCGTTTACTTACCTTTCCTGCAGCTCCTGTCAGCTCCATTCTCCTCCGTTCCGGTCAGCTCCACTGTAAGTCTCGCGGTCTGGTTGCCGTGCGGATCGTTGCCACGGCTCTGACGGCCGCGGCTCTCTAAGTTGCCATAATACAGACAGTGACTCAAGTATAAGTCGAGTGGGGGTTTTTAAGCACAAAAAATGTGCTGAAAAACTAGACTTATACTTGAGTATATACTGTACTCATTTAGAGAATGCTTCCTCATACTAGAAGGGGATTTAAACTTCCTCCTTGAGACCAAGATGGATACGTCTGCTGGCACTACTCACCTCCACAGACACATTCTTGGAGGTGTGCGAACTCTCCTCCTTGACTTCCAACTGATTGACTGTTGACATGCACTACATCCAACTGACAAAGACTACACCTTTTTCTCGTCTCCACATAATACTTGCCCTCCTATCGTGGTCGGATGATTCCCCTGTGACCATCTTCATAACACCCCCCACTCCACATCAAAAGAAGTCGACCTGGAACTAAATATGTCACTCTTAGATTATCCCCCCCCCCCATCCACTAGGATATTTAAACTCATCTAGAACAGTTCTTCCTTACCTATGCCATCTCTCAGCCCTTTCCCGATACAGTGTGGCAAGACCACAAATGCCTGTGTTGCAGCCTGCTCTTTAAACATGGTTCGCATTAGAAAAGACAACGTCCCCAAGAAATCTCTGCTCTACGCAGCTCACACAATTAGAAACACAACAGAAAACCTTCCAACAATCACCGACAACTTGTCTCCCTTCGCTCTAAACTTAACTCCCTCATGACTTCATGCATCCAGTTTCGGTTTCGTTTGGCCCAAAAAATTATTCTATGAATATGGTACAAAAAGTGTGGCATTGCTGGTGGGAGCACTGAGAACCCGCAGATGGAAATAATATGTCAAAAGAATAAACTATAATGGCTACACTCGTCTAACACCCTCTACTATTGTTGAGGGTTTACGTCAATATTACACATTACTATATGTCTTGCAAACATCCTCTCTCTTTCTACCTCAGAAGCCAACCCGGTATCTCCCGACCACAAGTTTTCATATATTATTGACAACTTCCTTAGAACTCTAGATGCAGCCACTACAAGTAAAATGGAAGAACCCCTTTGTTCAGAGAAACTTTCACTGGCACTCACTTACAAAGCCAGGTAAAAGCCCAGGTCCTGATGGATTCACAATTTAATACTACAAAACTGGCTCCCCACTTACTCCGCATGTTTAACCCCATTCAGTAGTGGAGCTCCCTAAAACTTTGTGCACTAGCAGAATATGGTAGTTGTCCTACTAAAAGAGGGCAAGGACCCCTATTTATTTTCCAAAAATATATAAATTTATATTACAGGTTTAGCAAATTACATTATGATTCTGTTCAGACACGCACACATAGTAAATGAGTAGAAAAAAAGTTGTTGTTTTTTGGGGGGGGGGTTTGCCTTTCCTATGCTGATTGACAGGTGCATAGGCCAGAGCTTATAATAAAGGCTGACAGGAACGATGGTGATGCCCAATTGCAGGATAATGATGTGTGGATTTCTATTTTAAAATTTATTTTTGACATTTCACAAAACATGTTGTTAATAATAGAGGATGAGTAAACAAGTTTAAAATCCTGGAAAGTAACAGTCACCCTGTATTAGAGACATATATTACCAGCACCAACATTTTCTGCAGGGTTTTACAACTATAAAAAAGGGACATTTAGAGGTAAAGAAGGCCCTGCTCAAATGAGCTTACAATCTATAAGGATTTGAGGTAGGCAGATATATATTGTTAGGTCTCTTGCTCAAGGACACTTGCTGGTAAGGTGATTAGACTGGGATTTGAACCTAGCTCTAAGTCAGAGGCATTACCACGTTAACCGAAATATCACAAATGTAGTACAAATTCTATTTAAATGCAGAGAGAAATCTATTTCATTAATAAATCTGTTTGTAATAATTATATATCTATATATGTATTAAGGCCGTTTGGCCTGTATTTGTGGGAGGGGCTTAAATGAATTCACTCCCCTACATAAAGTACAACCCTTACTTGACTCCACACCGTTCAAGGTCAACATCTGAATGACCCTCCCACCCACTCCTCTTTTACAACACTTTCTTTTCAATTCTATCTTACTTTTATTTCTTCTTGGTGGGCCCTCTTTATTTACAAGCCTACCGTATCGTTGGTATCGGCACACCACAACCGACTTTGCTCTTTTATTCTATCCTGCGTTCTCACTTGAACCTCACTCCATATACGGCTAATTGCCCCTTACACAAATATATATATATATATAAAATGTCTTCTGAAACTTGCCTAGACATGGTGGCATAATGTAGGCACTATTATCAGCAGATTACTTGTGAGTCTGTATTGTTATGCTTCACACAGTTCATTTAGTCGTATTGCTCCATATATTGCACGTTGTTCTCGCCATTCAATGCTCTGATTCACTATGTCCCATTTACTGAACAACATGTGGTGACTGTGTAGGATGTCATTTGACTACCAAATATTCATTCACATTAAAAAAAAAAAGCTTTCAGGGAAAATTAGAGAGAGCTTTTGGAAATACTAAGAGAAAGGCAGCAGTAATGATAATCCATGGTTTAGAAAGATCCAATCAGTATTTATCTCTCTGATGTGTGCTTCTCTTGCTAAAACCAGGGGTCAGAGGTTAGGAAATGCAGGTTTATACATCCGTATTCTGCAAGCACACAACGAGAATAAGTAACTACAATTAAATATCAAATCAACTATATTTTCTAACCTTTGACCCTTAGTTTTAACAAAGAGAAATGTCACAATATGCAAACACATAATGGCACAATAAGTGCTTTATCCACTTTAAGAGGGTCGAAAGCACTTGCTGCATGCTCTGGTACATTCAGTTATAATCAGTGTATCAACATATGGGGAGTGCAATGTATCAGAAGTGACGTAACATGCGCTATTTCTGTTGTTCATACATTACATATTTAAATTCTACAGAATTTCACATTTTATATTTAGCAATAATAATTAAATAATTTTAATTTCAAAGCTTTAAGGAAGCAGTCTAGACACCAAAATCACTGTACAGTATATGCATGCAGTGATTATGGTGCGTGTAGACTGCGGGTACCATACCTCAGTTCCTTATTGATCAAACTGTGTAGGAAGGCCCCCTCTCAACAGAATTTCTTTCTCAAATAATGAACACGAATGAAGTAGCCAGACGAGTGAAACCTCAAATTGGAGGTATTATTAGTGCTGTGGATGGTAGTGCTTAAGAAAACATCCTTTAAATACATACCACTGTAAGTCTGTATGGTAGATATGAATGTTACTAAAACCCATCTAATGATTCAAACACCCAATAGACCAGTAAAAAAAAGGTTTAAAAAGGGGAAATTAAATAACCCTTCAAACACTTTCTCTGTAGAAAACAATGCATTCAGGCTTTTTGTGAAGGACTCCGAGAATATCAAGCTCATCTTAAATTGAGCTAGAGAATGTGAAGTGCAGTAAATCGTAAAAGCTGAGAAGCTGTGCAGAGACTATTGAAGAGATCTGTGAAGAGGTCTGGGAATGTGTGTCTTGTGGATTCTTGCCTTATGACTGTACATTGAAGTAATCTTCTTGCTTATCTTAGGACGGGTTTGTTGGGGTTTACTAATAGAAAGTTGTTCCTCAAAATAATGTTCTCAGGGTCACCACTGCTTTAACTCTAAATATTGTGTTGATAATATCTATTTGTTTTATAGGTATTTCATGAAATAGGTTCTCACGTCCGCTATATAAAAACTGAAACACTTATGATAATTCATAGATTCGCTTTGTTGTAATAATTTTTGCCTGAAGGTCTTAGCTCATTAGTGTTACTAGATTTGATGGATATTAATATAAACTTAGTTACACTTTATTTCCCTTGAGCCAAAGATAGAGTCTTATGGCAGAATATATAGAACAGGAAGAACCCTTCTCCCACTGGAAGTGCCACAACGTTCAGTCTAGAGCACCAATCAGTTAAATGTGCCTAAAAAGAGTCTTAAAAACACAATTTGCCCCCACATCCACAACGAGAGACGCCCAAACCGCCCACCCCAACCACACTAGACAAACACAGTCACACCAATCTACACAAAATCCACCACACACAACCCCCCCCCACCGCACCAAACCGAATGACCCCCATGAGCCGCTCCAACTCCGCCAGCACCAGACCATGGACACTAAACACACAAGGACATACGAAACAATCAGCCAACGCAAACAGGAGATCTAACTGGAGCATCTCCAACACAGACCACCACCCTGTCTGGGGTCATGAATGCACCCACCACAAACACCGCACCACACGAGAACAACAAGTGGGAAGCACTCTCAGACCACCCCCGACAGAAACTACAACCCCTGATATAAAGAGCAAATAACCACTTACGACGAAGCCAACAGCGGCTAACCACCACATACCACACACGGATCTGGAACCACCTACCGAGACCCTGACCAACACACTCTACTCTAGGTGACAGCCCAAGTAGAATCAAACATAAAGTCCATGGGAAGGTCCACAATCGACATCAGACCAACATCGCCCAACCACCAGGGACCCACAAACTAATAGAGCCCACGCCAAAATACATGACACCAGGAGACGACAGGCCTACATACTAGGCAATAGGATTAGCACCCCCACCAGACCCACCCCCCCTTCCCTCATGGTACCCCTAACTCCCCCCGAAGGGAACCTCATAAACACACCGACCAAACACTGAACCACACGGCACACAACGCACACAACTATGAAACTTACGAACCGAAAATTTTCTTGTTAAAGCTGTTAAAATATCATATACTGCAACACAATGTTATACCCCTCTAGAAATAAGATTTAGATCCCTTTCTCGGAATCGGGACCAAAGTCCTACAGTAACATCGAAGGACAGCAACAGTTACGGAACAAAACTATGTAATTACTTCGCCTTTATGACTGTTTTGTAACACATTAATGCAACTCATGGTCTCTGTGAAAGTATCCTTGCTCCCAAGTTTTCTTTTCTGTACCCTAACCCCCATATAACTGAAAAATTCAAAATAAAGAATTTATAAAAAAAAAAACACAATTTGCATAAAGGTTTCAGAGCAATGCAGTTTGATCAGTCCTGATAAAAGCTCATCTTTCACTAAAATGATCAAAACACTATTAAAAAGAAATACCATTGTAATCTCACAGTATCTTCTCCTTCATATGACCACTGGTGTATTAACAAGGTAAAAAAATGTATCAATGAGCTGAAAGCCTTCATTCTCCAAACTAGGGCAACTCTAGAGGGAATTTACGATTTTGCCAACCATTCCCTGCCCTTGCTTTAGGTGATTTCTGCCTACCTGGCATGCAGCACGCATTGCTCTTGTTGCAGCAGACACTTTCATTCATTGGAATGTCTAAGAGAGAAAGATGTATATTTGTAGAAAGGACAAAGCTAAGAATAGTCAGGAATCATAAGAACACTATGTAAAATATATGCTAATTTTCTGGATCTTGACAT